TTGGCTCTTAGTTTCATGCACCCAATCAAACCAGCGGAACGTGGACGAGCCAGCATCTAGTTCCCTAGGAGCTGCCCAACTTTGACGGTTCATCATCATTGTGCAGTGAAGTACAGAGAAGTGAACTTCACTGACCACTTGGGCCGGTGGTAGCTGTCTAACACTGTCGGGCCGAAGCCCGTGGTACCCCGCTCTTACGTCCAAATGGCGGTTTTTTGTGTCGGTAGAATGCTCCTCTCCTTGTTTATTTGCTGAAGTAACCTCTTCAGAGACGAGCGTAGATAAAGTAAGAAAACCAGGAGGATTCCAAGCAGCTGGTCTTGTGAAACTGAGCTTTGTTTGCCCTCTATCCATTGACATTTCAGGCATGATTGGGTCTACAGCTATGAGCGGCCCATCTGTGTAGCTTGCAGGGTCATGAAGGTACGAAGGCCATAGCACCACGTCAAAGTGCAGTCTCGTCGTGATGAGCCTACCACTTATTGAGGGCCGGTGTCCCGTAAATCGGATCATATATATTATGGACGGAGAGAAACGTAAAAGCTGCCAACACATCTTGATGGTCAATCGAGCCGGTGACAACTGCTACAGTCAAATTGCGTGGTTCGTACGCCTCGTTTTGGTTCGTTTAGAATCGGGGTTTTTAGCCAGTGGTTCACGGACCTGGATGTTGGTTTTTCATCCTCCCATTTTTGTATGCCTCGAGAAGACAATGAGTAGGAAGTTCTTAGCAGAGGTTATTTGAAATGCTTGGTTATATATGACCATTTTGCTGGGTGCAGAGGAGGGGTGACCAGCCGCAACTCGTAACACTCACCACCGACCCTACGCTTTCAGAGGCCTCTTAGGACAAAATCGCAGTAGCTTTTTGTGAACTGCGTCAGGTTTGTTAAAACACCGCTGATGATGTCGAGTTCTCTTGAAGAAATACCACGAAGCATCGCTCGCGACGTTGGTTACGTATAACTCGTCCCACACACGTATTGAGCTGCGATGTGCATGTTTTTGTCTGTACTCATGGGGTGCATTAAAAGGATTTTGTACCCTTCAATTATGTTGTGAAGATAAAATTTATTTTCCAGGTCGATATTCGACCCAGTGCAGTGATAGCATCACGGGTTTCAGTGGCCGAAACTGGGTGTGAACTAAAAGCTCTGGTAGCCCCTTTTTCCGAAAATATCTGATAAACATAGTTCAGATATGGGAATCGAATATACGTGGTCGATAAAGCAACCCATTGAATGGGAATATGTCGCATCAGGTAGCACCGAATTACTCCATCTCGGCTTCCAACCTTTGATTGACTACATCCACCCTTCGGAAAACTAGGTGCACCGTTGCATATGCAATAAGTGAAAAAGAAGTAAAACATTTCAGGTATCAATCAAATCATGCAGAAGTCAACCCGAGAAAGCTAGAGAAATTACTGGACCGCACATCTAAGTACAAGCGCTGGTCTTCCAACAATGTGCTTCTCGTCTGCCCCCTCACGGCAGCAAAGCGCGTGAAACTGATTTTACGATTTTGTCAGAAATATACTTCAAATAACTGGACATAGAAGTATCCTAAGCGATGTGTATGTTCGTGCTTCGGCCGGGATTCGAATTAGGGGCCGTCGTTTTGGAAGCCCAAACCCTTTTTCCCGAACTTCTCGGCCGACAACCAGAACTTCAATTGAATGGCTCAATTAGTTTCGAATACCATTTTTGTTGAGCTGAGTAGACTTAACAGCCATTGCCCTTGCTGACGTTTTCTGCGTTTTTCATTTTTTTGAGTAATCTTTCACTTCAGACAATTTTGTCATGGCTCTAGGAAATATAATTGTGTATTTGTTCTTCTCCCTGTCTATCTACTTGATTCACATTCGTATCATATTTCTGAACTACTAATTCACTTGGAAGCGCACGTCAGTGTCAGTTAGTGTTTAGATTTGTCAATCACCCGTTATCCCCTCATGATTTCTGAGAGTTTCATAAATGAACATTGTTGGCTCCAATTTTTTCCTTCTGTTTCATTTATTAGCGCAAATATATGCATTCGATTATTTAGCTTGATAAGTTCCGGCTACTTTGTTCTTCAGATCATTCTTGCAGTTCGCGAATTTTTTTTCACAAATGATCGTCAAAATTTTCAGCCCAAGGTATGTTCCATGTTTTCCGTGTGTTTTAATTCATTCACCTGCCAGTGAAAAATCTGAAGATTGGATTCTGATGGAACTACAAGGTGAGTTGGTTTCCCGATCCGGCGAGACATTATCGGGAAAGCTGATAGGCGATCTTCATTTCTCCAAACAGGCAAGTGTGTTTGCTTTGCAGTTACAATTGATCATCCAGGGTGAGCCGGTTTTCATTGTCGGCCATCACGTTCTGTTTGGGAAATTAATCGCCATGGAAAAACCGTTTGTTGTGACCAAAAAATCGCAAAACAATGGCCATACAGAATATCACGTTGTTGGTGTTGTTCGCAAAAAGCTAATTTTCAAGACACGTCCTCGACCAATCATTTTGTCCGGACCCAAACCAGCATGATCATGTGATTTCTCACGTACCTATCCCTGTTTTCCGAATTGATTTTCCTTAATACTTTCAATGTCTGTATATATTCTCCAGCAAAAATCGTGTACCCGTTTCTTTGCTTCAAAGATCCATGCAACATAGTCTGTTTGACACTCGGCCTTAGAAGAGTGTGCAGTATATACTTCAAACGTGAAATACATTCGCAACTCCATCGATGTTCACAGTTGTTTTCATTGGTTCGTCAGCTGTCTTTCCAGGTTTCCTCTTTCAGCATTCTCACTTGTTTTATTTCAAGCCATTTGTTTCTAAATTGAATATTGTGCATGTGGTACCAACTAAGAGGTATGCGATAAGAGATGCGATGGCCAGCTGTACGGTAGGTTATAAACTCTAATCACTCAGTAATTAAGAGCCACTTGTGCAATCGTCTCCTTCACATTTCAACAATTCGATCTTATTAGCTAAATCGAAAGCTGCTCGAATATTACAAATCAACTTCGGTCCACTGACGTTTTGATTTGTAAATCCTCTACGGGCCGAAAATCTGCAAGGGCCGTTACCATGCGTACAGAATAGTCGCTGTAAAATTAGATGTTTTATTCATTCATGATTAGTGCAATCAAAACATAAGGCCTTATTGTATACACTTCGTGTACAAAGTGTACATCCGTGTGTTAAAGATAACTGCTCGATCGGTCAAACTCTGAGTTCTTTGTATTAAGTTGGGTGAATTTCGTCAGAGTATAGGTTTGTTAGGTTTCACGGTAGGACCTCTTCTTCCATAGGTTAGGTGTTTACAGTCATTTTATTCAAATGACTTGATTTGTGGTTTGGAGCATCGATTATGCAACGATGTGGTCAGGTGGTTAGTTATCCTTCAAGTAAGGATACAACACTTCTTCCTTTATGGTGCTTGGCGTACATCCTATATACATGCGTAGATCATGTCTTTACTTACTGGCGTTGAATCTGACTGCAAGAAGTACAGAGGTGGGTGAACCATGCTGATTTGGTCAGTTTCGTTTTGGAACATCTAAACTGGGATCCCCAAGATTCCAACATGGTTGAGAAAAGCTGGGTGTGACTCTAACTGCCTGCCCGTTGTTATATATTTTGGGTAGGTGATCGAGGCCTGCTTCGAAGTATTTTACAAACTGTTCACAGCGTTTGTAGTTCAGTGCTATTTTGTGTACAGTTGTGTGCGTTGAGTGCAGTACTCTATCTCTGAACCATTACAGCAGGCGCGTAGCACTGAAAAGTTCGTGAGTGATGGTGTATATATCAAAAAAGACAAATGCACATGTTATTGGGTTTAGACCGGCTTCCCTCGACCAAATAATCAGGACATTCAAAACTGGCGGCGCGAAAGGAACATTTCTACGGAATAGTCACAGTTTTGTTCTAAAATTTCGAAATAGTTTCAATTGACCAATGTGTGGTTTCGTTTGGATGACATCATCCTGGTAGACTTCAATGGAATCGATATCTCCAACAAGGTTATTCATCATTTGCTGGTAAATCGCAGATGAGTTGTTGAGACCAAAGAGAGGAAGTCTGTATTTCTACAGTCCAGTTGGTGTGTTTATTGGTGGTTATTCCCGTGGATGATTCGTGCAGACTGATCTGTAAATATGCACCTTTCAAGTCGATTTTAGAAAGTACCGTAAAGCAATGGATCAAGTCCAGAATATCTACTGGTACACGCCTGTCCTTTTAGCTAACGATCTACGGTAAAACGATAGTTATCACAAATTCGATTGGTGATCTTGGACGTTTGACCCCGTCCGAAGGGCGTATGATCCGATGAACTAGACACCGGCCCCCAATGGGTTGCGGTGTTCGCATACCGCCCTATTGCCTTTCGGGTCAGGCTTTGGCTACCCGGAGGCTCCGGTTGCGAATTCCTCAAGAAAATTCACCTGCCTTGACCTGGGCAACCTGACAGTATTCAGCCCATGTGCACATCATGAAGTTTTTATTCTTTTATACACATCATTGTACCATGATTTGTTTGGCACATGGTTTGTATTCATACGTACACACACACACACACACATATATATATATATATATATATATATATTCGAGTCGGTCACTTCAAAACGAACTGAACGAAGATTCATTCCACTTGTCCCCCGGTTCAAAACTTAAGAATCAAGTCTTCTGAGGAAAAACCACTATTGAAAGTTGCTGTCGGTTGATTTGGTCACATGGCGGTGCTGTTCGAGCGGTAATGGTTGCTCCGGAGAACGTGCATTTCAATCCTACCACCACCTGACTTTCATCACTCTGTGTTGTATGGCAGCCCTTTGATTGGTCGCATCCTCCTTGAAAATTCGATTAGTTTATATTCAATAAAAATAAAGTAAAATAAAAATGATAAAAGGCGGACACCAGGGCGCAACGAGCGAACGCCTGACTCTGCGTTACTTTGAGGTGGAATAAACAGAAATTTGAAACGCAGTACAGTTAAGTTGACTATACGCGAATGGCTGCGGCTGCAACGATCAAGGGGTCCGAACGTGGACCAGATGATCGAGAAGACTACATCCGTGTAAATGGAAAATGAGAAAATGGTCTGGTCAGCTGCCGAGTGGGTAGCATGCTTGTGTTCTGCCCATGAGGTCCCGGGTTCAATCCCCAGTTGGGTCGATGGGTTCGCCACGCTGCTGATGAGATCCAACCAGGTTGAAACAGCTGTCCAGTGCTTCCTAGCATATCAGTTCAGTGGTTGAACTTCTCATAAATTAGTCAGTAAGGTCGATCATTCTAATCAGAATAACGACGTTAGTACATTACTTGAATGTGGTTGTTTTGAACCTAGTTGTGCGCTGTGTATTATTAACTAAAGCGCTGATATTTCATGCTAACGGGAGAATGTGGTCATCTAACCGCAACGGGAAACTAGTTCCATCATTCGAAATGCTGATCTTAATACTGGACAAAACTTTCCAACTGGGCCTCATTCGTAATAGTCTTTCCAGTCGAGGCGGTAAACTTCATGTGTTGCACTTCCGGTCGTCTGCATGGTAGGACGGACTTTAGGCTAAATGATTCCTCCTAGCCCTGCGCACCGGTCAGACCACTTAAAATTGTTCGATAACATTACCTCCAAGTCCTTCACCCTAGTAGAGGGTTCAATAACGAACTGGTACTCTTCCGAGTGAACTTCCAGTCCGTCAAATGACCTTGTGAGCGCATGACTATTGGTTGCGTTAAGACTTAGGTCCCATTCCTTTGTCCATCTAGCTGCTTGCTCTAAATCCCGCCCCAGATTACTTCTCTTATTCGAACCAACCACTTGGACGTCATCTGCGAAAATATATCACGATGAGGTCAGAGTGTTTGGCAAGTCATTTATCTAGAGAAGGAATAGAAGAGATCCTAGTATTGAGCCTTGTGGAACTCCGCTAGTCAGCTAAACCGGTGTTAACCTCTTCTCACCAACTGTCACATAGAATGATCATTGTGAGAGAAAGGCGCTTATCCACCTGTACAACTGTCCTTGGATTCCGAATCGTTCTGATTTGGTCAACAACAGGCGATGATTGACGGAATCAAAAGCCTTGCTGAAATCCAGGTGGGAAAACTCTGCTGTTTTACCCTCATCTGTCTTTGCAGTAACATTCTCCAAAAAGCACAACAGGTTTTTTAGGCGTGAGCGTTGCCCAACGAATCCATGCTGTGCCTCTGTCATGAGTATGTTCCACTCCAGATATTTCACTAGATGCGTTCTAACTATCTTGCATAGTACGCTAATTAAATTAACAGGTCGATAGTTCTTTACATCTGTCTTCTTACCGCCCTTGTGTATGGCTACTACCGAAGCTGTTCTCCAGTCGGACGGTAAGATCTCTTCAGCTATTGATACCCTAAAAAGGCTGCAAATCGGCCCCGCACTTATATCAGCAATCCGCTTGATGATCGCTGAGCTAATTCCATCTGATCCTGGAGCCTTGGATACCTTAAAATCGTCTAGTACCTCAAATACTTGATCGACTGTTACTCGTACTTCCTCCACGCGTCCATCACTGAGGGCTGGGAAGCACTTGACTCACCTCTGTACGCTGCTAAAGTAAGCGTAGAATGCATCAGCTTCACTCTGGTTTTCAGTTATAATCCTATTTCCCTCAAGTACCAATGGGCCCATCTCTTCTCTGGTGGAGCCCTTTTACTGGACATATCCGTAGTACCCCTTTGGATCCAGATTTACTTTCTGTGCCAGCTTCATTTTAAACAACCTCTTTTTGTCCATCACTAGGTTAACCACTGCATTTCTGTGGATTGTGCAATTTATCCACGACCTGTGGATGCCATGTAGTTGAGAAACTCTCCAGCTTCGGTTTCGGTACCTAATGGCCCTGACTACTGCACTTCGCCACCGTGTAGTTTTTCCCTTGTGCCGCTTATATCTTAGTGAGTCAAAGAGACCCTGGAGGTTGAGGAGATTGTGTTTGATTAACTACCAGCATTCCTCGACGATTGTAGTTTCTCGCTCGAGAATCCACTGCATTCGTGCGGTGTATTCCCTACCTACTTATGTTCATTCTACCAAAATCCCTGTACATTCGTAATCTACGTACGGGTGGTTTCATCCGGATATCGACCCCGATGTGGAGTTGCTCACTCTTTCCGATCGGTGGATTTCCAGTGACACTAATTACATCCTGTTCCCTTTTGGAAAACACAAGATCCCGTAGGGATGGTTATTGCTGAGCTTCGAACCGCGTGCATAATGCAACATTATAAAAACGTGCTCTTGTGTTTATCCGCTCTAAATCCGTTTCCTCCTGACTATCTTGGGTGGACCACCAATCCATATGAGGTACGTTAAAATTACCAGCTATGAACAGCTTCGCTGATCCCTAAACTAGTGCATCAATCAGTGCCCGGTCATCGGTGACCTCAGCCTGGGAGACGCACGCCATCGTAATCTTGTTGTCGGGTAACAGCAGTGCCATGATACATAGTTGAACACTGTTCAGGTTCACCGAAACTTCTCTGACCATGTG